CAGCGCAAGCCATTTGGGATCTGTTCAGGCGTCTCATTCCAGTAGGCCCTTGAAATCACACCCCTGACTTCGGCAGGGTTGGGGAGGGGCTGCGATGTACGTGGCTATGGGGTATTGCTTTGCATTTAAAACGATCGCCTGCACATTTACTAGAGCCAGAGCTGTTGCTTCCTCTGCAGTCGCCACTGTGAAGGTATTATTCGTGGAATGTATTCTGATATGCAGTTCACCCAGCGTGGAGCCGTCCACAGTAGTACGCAGTGCTTGTAGCAGACTTGCTGCTGGGTGCTTTTCCAGAGAGAGCCCGCCTCGCGGGCGAAAAACAACCCGGATTGGGCCTGCCGGCAGTGCGGCCAGTTGTTTGCTTTTTTGCACGACAGCACGCCTTGTGTGTAGCAGATGCGTCGCCTCCTTGGACGTGGTCCGAGTGGGCGCAGACGCCGCGTCCAGCGGTGCGCTGACGTTGCTGGCGTTTGGCTGTGCTGGAGCCAAGGCCGCTGAAAGGAGATTTGAGGCCAAATTCGAACCCGGGGCTTGATTTCGATAAGCACGAAGCGCAGTTTGCCACTCACCAGAGTGGTTGTCTTGCTGGTGGATGGTCTCTTCATCCCCTGAGTCATCCATGGCTGTTGGAGAGTGAGGAACGCGGCGCGCGTGTGCGGCCTGCCACAAAGAGGTGAGGCTTAGCGCGACGGCGTGGGTGTCAGAGGCGGTTTAATTCACTGGGTACTTCTCGAAGATCATGGGGCACATCTAGAAGATGATAGCGGGTAGTGTCCGTGCACCTTCTCGGATCCGCTGAGAGCCTTGGTGGGTCCACGGAAGGATATAACTGGGTACAGGAAACAGAAATTTATGGAAGCGATGCGATACGCGTCCGTTCACTCTGGACCTCTAGTGGCCAGTCTTGCACCTCTCGAGGTTTCTCTCCAGCGCAACGCTGCGATGAGAGCCAGCGTCAGCGCCACCACCAGTGTAAGCGTTAGGGCCCGCTGCATGCCTCGCATCCACACATGGTTCCCTTTAACGGGAAATGACGTAATTTTATAGCAATCAGTAGTTTGATACAATTTTATACGCCGACCGCTTCTATCTTGGGTGACTCCCTGTCACGGACTGCAACTTTTGTCACCTGGCGTCACGCCGAGTTTACAGGCGCGGCGCTTCTCTCCCGGACCGGGTGACCGCTTGAAGCTTTCGACATCAAAATAGTTTCTGTTCGAGCCGCCAAAGCATGTCGGAGCTGTTCGTCTCGGACATCCACCGCTGAGGGTTCACCTTTCGGGTCTCTGGCGACAAGGGGAAGCCGCCGAATTCCCCGAATTGAGGTATGGGCTACCGGATGCGCCCGCTAAGAACCGAGGGAAGAGCCCTTTCCCACGGTGGAAATAACAAGCCGTCGAGCTGTAAGCGATTGACTCACAAGTTTGTTATTCTCGTCCAGTTGAGAACATGCCCCGCTATTGCATAAGGGCGTGGTTGGAATTTAGGGTGGAGTTTTTAAAGATGTCATGCGCAAGATCGGATCCACGTCGATAGTCCTCTCCCCCCCCCCCCCCCGGGAACCCGGAAGAAGATGAGGGGGCATGAAGGGGATTTAGGCACAGGATATCACCGTGCTAATTAGTTTAGTTGCTTGTACAACTTGGTATATCCTATAGAAGCTTCAGTGTAACTGTGTGTTGATTGGCTAGCTACCTAAACTTAGCCGTTCGTCCAGTTGAGACACGTAATTAGCGTCTGCCATGTAGGCAGATCGGAAATTCAACTCAGGCTAGCACAACCTGCCTGTGTTCACCGTCATTCGTCCCGGAAACATCAACGTTGCAATGCCGCCGGCATCGCAGTCATGCCAGAAATCTTCGGAACTTCTCGCATTCGATCAGCGCGGATTAACGCTGCCGGTCATCGGACGTATATATGCCAACACCGGTTAGTACTTCTGAACTGTCGCGTCTTTAGCTATTGTTTATTCATTCTACCGTTTCTTTCATTGCTTGTTAATTTATTTGCTATCCTAATACTTCTTGCTTGTGAGCTCATTTATTATTATTTATAAGTATGCTTGTTAGACTATTCGAGGTATTGCATCCCTTGTGTCGTATGCAAGTATATTAAATCTGTCATATCATTTTCCGACACTCGTCTCTGATCTCCTCATTGATTCTGCTTGCATACAGAACAAACTATCCTTTTGTCATTCCTAGGTGCCGCTGAATTCGCGCCGGCGGCGCTAGCGTGGCAGCTTGTAACACTCCCTCACTGCTTTTTTTTAAAGTCTTTTCCCAGGCGTACTAATTTCTTATTGAAAATTATGCATGCAGGTTTGCTTCGTGTATAAAGTCAAGTAACGAACGGTGGTGAGCTCCACGAAAGCGGTCGAAGTCGGTGGTCGGCCAGGCCTGAGATCTCTTGCACGGAGGTGACGACGTCGCCTTAATTGTAGGCACGTCAAAGTCCACAATAACTGGTAGAGCCAGTATGTACGTATTTAAAAGCTATTATCCGAATGTTGATTAATCGATGAAAACATCAAATTAAAAGGAATAATCGAGTTAAAGCTAAATTGATGAACGATCAATCAATATAATATAATAATCGACCATGATGGATACATACAGCTTTAATGAGTGCACGGCAAGATTAAATCATCCCTAAAATAGATCTACGCCCGTTCACGCTCCACTATGAAACTATGAAGCGCTTTAAAGTGTTTATTTATTTATTTATTTATTTATTTATTTATTTATTTATTTATTTATTTATTTACAAGACACTGCAGGCTCAGTAAGCGTCCAAGCAGGAGGGACAGAAAAGTACAATGCAAACAGATATCAAAGAAAATGAAAGAAACAATCATTTAGACAATTAACATGGACGGGATGAAAAGCTATGTTGTAACAACGAAGATTTTGAAGCAGGAATTGCCCAATATTTTGAAAGCACAATAATACTATAAGTCCAACTGATGTATTAGTAGAATAAAAAAAAAAGATGCGCAAAAAGCAATGACATATTCAACAACTGAAAGCATTCATAGCATCTGTACTGCGTAAACTAGCTACGAATAATTTGTTCCAATCAGCTATGCTACGGGAAAAAAAGGAGTGTTGGAAAATGTTAGTTTTTAAGAGCTTTTGACTCATTGTTTTCAATAGTTTTCGAGTTTTGCTTTATTGATAGGTGACTGCGTTTGTTCAGGCTTGAAGTGTTTGATGGGATCGCACCACAACACGCTTCTGTCGCGTGCATGACCAAGCATGAAAGCCCGTACCGAACTTTCATGACGGTGCCCTGTACCACGCGGTTGTGGACGAACGCTTCAGTGTGTCATTTCAGCAAATAAAGCTCGGAAGCGTTCGAGCAGCGCCGCTCGAGTGTGCGTCTCTCTCATATTAGCCATGTTTTTTCTCGGAAGAAACAATGAGGAAGAATTAAACAAGTGAATTCTTAATTTTGGCTTACAACACGAAGTTAATATTTCGCCGATTTGCGTATTTATAGGTAATTAGTGCTTAGGCACGAAAAATACATGTATGTGCACACGACCACTTATAAAATATTCAGTTTAAACTTTAAGGAAGCACATGTGCTTCCTTAAAGTTTCAATAATTATACATGCTTATTTGAACATTTTAACTATTGTTCCAAGCTAGCTAGGACAGCCAGTATATATTGCGCGTTGGGAGTGTTTTCTCAAAATAAAAGCCTCGGTTCTGTGCGCCTTTAATACACCCGCATAAAGTATTGATAAAAAAATAAAACAGCGAAAATACAAATACCAAGCGAACACGTATACGTTCGATTTCCAGTGCAATCACCGTCTGTTCGCGCCTGTCCAAATTTGGCTGTTTATTTAGTCGTGCGCACGCAAATAGAATCTAAGTTGTTAGTACAGCATCGTCTCATTTTTTTTTTGTTCCTCGTTTTCAGTTCTGCTGTACGAACAATCGAAGTTTCCCGGGTCTATTGATTACTTTTTTTTTATCGACACCCTGTTTATGGTCCACGCTACATATGCAGGCCTTATATTTTCAATGGATCCTCCCAGCGACAAGCCCCTCTCTTAATTGTTGTTCTTGTACGGTTGTTTTTGTTACTTTGTGTGTGTGCGCGCACGTTCGTGCGTGTGCCGCGTGTGCATGTGATGAATGCACGAACGTAGCAGAAATTTTTAGTTGGAATGGTAATTGAGCCATATGATTTCCAATGCTCTCTTGGGTGTTTCTATATGTAGTACCACGTGTGAAATATGTGCACGCGAGAGCGAAAAAGTTCGGGAAATGGGGAAACACACGCACGCACATACACACGCACGCACACACACACACATACACACACACACACACACACACACACACACACACACACTCACACACACTTCCGATATGTGCACGCCCGTTGAAGCGGCTGCATCATGCTTGAATCTCAGCTCATACATGTTAGCATTTATTTTATAAGCGCTCCGTTTAATCTTTCGCTAAAGCTCGTGCGAACTCACTGAGCAAAGCCAACAGAGAACTACATGCACTAACAGGAACACCTCGGAGTCCACTGCGGTATAGCAGTGGCTCAGGTGCTCGGCTGTTGACTCGAAGTGTGCGGGTTCCATCCCCACCGCAGTGGTCGCATTGCAGTGTACGTGAAATGGTAAACATCCGTCCACTGTGAGATATCCGTGCACGTTAAAGGACTCTAGGTCGTTGATATTTCGGTGTCTTTCATTATCATGTCGTGGGTCTGGGACATAAAACCTCAGATATTATTTAAAACACTGTTCGAAAAAGACGTTTAGCTTGGGTCTTCAAAGGGCTAGCCCGCAGCCATAAAAATTAAAATAAAAGCTGCTCATACTATGGCTAATACTACTTCAGAATACGACGAAAATAAATCAATAAAATACTGTGTAAAATGTAAGTGCGTGAGCATTTTGAATGAATAAACATAAAAAAACGTCGTTGTTCAGTTGTTCACAACAATGGCAACAACCGAGATATTCAAGTTGCCGAACAAACTGCAGCGCAGATGAACGCGGGCGGTGGAGCACTTCATTTGCACTGACACTTAAAGTGCGATGGTCAGAAGCGTAAAGTAATTGATCGGTAGTGTTTCTGAGCTTGTTTGCTTTAGTATTACCCGCGGTGATACCCCGTTGCGTGGTGATTCCTGACGCGGTCAGTCGTCGCGACATTCGAGAACCACGTGCGTTGGGCTAAAGCCACTAACGCGTCGGCTGGAGTGGTTGTGCTATGCCGCTGTGTTTGACGAGCATTACGACGTGTCGGCGAGAGGTTTACGCCGTCATCATACGAGACCAACATACAAGGTATGAGCGTTTTATTGCTTGACCACCGTTTCAGGCGGTTGCGCTGCTAAGATTCCATTGTGGCTCCTAAGTTGTGTAACTGTAACTGCTTAGATAACTGTTGCTCGTCACCTAAAACTTGCGGGTTTTAATTTTCGTGTAATCTGCGCTGTCTGTGACTTCGTGACGTATCCAACGGGTGGCACACTGTTTCTATGTGCAACTCACTGGGGCATGGCTATTATTTAGTTGTAGCGAATGAGGAGAATCTTGTCACACGTCATTTTTTATTTCCGAAGGGAACGCCCTCAGGTTTACTAGCTCAGATAAATATTGGTGTAGTTTGTGGAACAGACTCTTCCAAATTTTTCTTTCTTTTTTTCACGATCCAAGTAGGCAGCTTGTCAAACTGCAGCCGATATGTTAATGCATTTTGCATTTCATATTTCATGCGGAAAAGATGGAACATAAAAAAACATGCACCAGTGGTGTTACCTTAACGAGAAAGTCGCTAAATTTAGCATCTTTTCAGTCTTGCTAGCGACAATTTCATCTCTGTGGAATCTTGGCGACTTTTGTAGAGGGGGGGGGGGGGAATAATTCGAGGTGGGGTGTTTTAAAACAGACGTTGAAGATTAGAAAACTGTTAGAACAGTGGAATTCTCTTAACGAGCACCAATTAATGGGGCCGAAGCATACGCGATCAAGCTGCTTGTGGCACCCACGGGTTCATAGTGGCGTAGAGAAGAGGTAGCAGCACACTCCAACTTCATTCGCCCCAACGGAAATTTGTTGGGGGGAGAATGAATGAAATCAATATACTTACAGAGTATACATAGTGTTCATGTGATGTCACTTTCACCGTTGTCGCCCTCTCTAGCCATGCCCGAGTACCACCCTTGGTACTTACAGCAAATCGCGTGCTGCAGCGCGGTTTGTTGGGGACTCGTCATCTGTTGCTGTGTACGATGTTGAAAAGGAAGCATTGTGGTTTTTTGTTGTCGTACTTTAACGAGCTTATCGGATTAGGAAGGCCTCGTTTGTTCACTTGATACAAGACCAAGAAATCAAGTTGTGTGATACGTATACCAGCCACCGCGTACACCGGCTGCCCGCCGCGACCTACCAAGGTCCAGTATCCCGCTTTCACTACAAATTGCATGGCGCGAGAACAAGTGAAAGCCCAAACTGTCTCGAGCCACCTTTTTAAGAGTGGATGAGCGAAGCGCAGCAGCTCCCATCGAAAACGAGTCGTGCTGAGCTAGGCAAGTGTACAAGAGATATAATATTAATATATTGCTGCGGCCCACGCCACTTAAGTAGCAGCGCCCCCCCTCCAATTATTTTAAACAGTGCTGATGTTGAGCCCCTTTGATAAAAATTTGTGGAAACAGCCGAGGAAAAAATTATTGGGTGTTTCATAATAAAATTCATGTTTTTTTCTCTGTAACCTGCTCCAAGTTTGGAATTGAGTGCTGCGGAAGTAAAATTTTGCTGCTCCGAAAGTTCCTCGAAATTGCCGTTGCACCCCGGTGTTCTTCACCATCCCACAGCTTCCTATGCGTCTGTGAAAAAATGTAAATCAAGGGTAACATTGTCAAGTCATCCCAAATGGGTGACTGTCAATATCTATACCTGCCATGACTTTTGTGGTCCTGTCAAAGCAGCCTTGCCTTCTTTTTCTAGCGTGGTGGAAGGTGGCAAGCTGCTTGTATTGTTTCACTTTGTAGGTATACCAACTGTTGCAAGCCCTTTTGGTCAGTTACACTTTTTTGCTTGGCCGCTGGTGGTGGAACATTCTTAGGTGCTCTTATTATCAGTAACATTGCCTTCTCTCTCAACATAATCAGAACTGGTTCTTGGACTGTAAAAGTCATCACTGGGCTTGCTTTGCTACTCTGTTGCCTGAAATTAGCACTTCAAGGGAAGGCAGAAGGAGGGAAAGATTGAAGCTTGCCATGAAACATGCATCTGCTAAGGGTGTGTAGGCTCTAGCACACCTCCGATTTACAAATTCATTCAAATGAATGTTCAGTGTCGCTTATGTGCACACCTGCACTTTTTATTTGCAGGAGGAATTCAAGCGAGTGACCATTTGCGACAGGTCAATGTGCTGCATGATGTCGTTCAGTGTGAGTTGTGCCGGGTCACCTTACATAATCCATCCCTTGCTCATTTCCCTGAGAAAGCAACATCAAGATTGCTTTCCCCTTACAACTTGCCTGTTTCTGCTTTTCCTCCATTTTTCCAGCATTGAAATATGCGTTCAAGCCCTCCAGGTCCCTGATTGTGCTCCTGTAGTTCTTTGATGTCGGGAGAGCCACATTTCTGACCTTTTGGTGAGTGCATAGAATCTTCTCTCTCAATTTTGTGACTGTGGACGGGCACTGCTTTAACATACCGGTAAGTGTTCCCAGCATAAGTACCATCTACGTACGCTTGCATGTACCATCTTGCCTTACAAATGCTTTTGGACGCTTACCAGCTCAAGGCGCCAATGTACTGCAGATATGTGACAGCACGGCAACATCATAGCCCGTCTAAACGAACAGGTGTAAAAACTCATCTGGCCAGTGATGGTGGAGACATCCAATGTTTTTGTTTTATAAAATCAAAGCCATATGGTGACAACATTAGCTTGCAATTGTCAGCCGCATCGATAGCAGTTACATCGTTATATGCCACTGCACAAGGGCTGTCTTTCGTGCTCTCAAATTTTTTTTATTAATTTTAATGGCAAAAAAATAAAATTATTTACGTGGAGCTGAAGTACTCCACTATCTGTTTCAGCTGGGCACTTGTGCTTTCTGTGTGGCTCTTTACTTAATACACTGTTACTTAAATCCCATCAACCACTCTTCCTGGATGGAGTGTCAGTATGCATTGAAATGTGTCATATATCTGCAAACAATTACATAGGATTCATACAGAACTCGGTACAGAACTCGTCATACCTCACTTTTCTGTGCGAGACATAGTATTGAGGCAGTGTGTCATGGAGGTGACAAATGACTTAAAATGTGACATAATGTCACGCGTGCTTTTACCAGACGGTAAGATTAGACTGCCAGGAGATTTTCTAAAGTTTATTTATCTCTGGCTGCCACTTTGCACATAATTTGTTTTAAAAGCGCTGCAGTCCGGTTCATTCACCATTCCTCAACCAGTTTCCTACGATTTCCGCAGCATTTTATTTGTGACATGTTGTGTGAGCGTTGCCAGCCTTGTGAAACAAAACAGTCTTGTCTTCTGTAAAATCATTGAGTTGCGAGATTATGAGGTTCTCATTTCTGTTAGGAAATGATTTTTTCTCGCCCTTTTGATCTGCCCAGCTGTACTGTTCGGCAGGTTTTGTGCTGGCAGTTACTTCAAAACCAATTCCACCAAAGCCCCAAAATGGATGGAGCTGTATATTTTACGAATTTGTGTTCAGGAAGTTACTCATAGCCCAGTATTGAAACAAGTTTAGGAAAATTTGATGAATGATAGCCTCATTGTCAGTTCAGTTCAGTTTATTAACCTTAAGGGCTTCCCGAAGGAAGCATTACATAATGGGTGGGTTACAACTTCTCACATAGACATTTCATATTGATTAGTTATATGCTGCTGAAACAATGATGGGCAGGTGATGGGGGCAGTGTCAGCAGGAAGGCCGTTCCAGTCTTTGGCAGTTCTGGGGATGAACGAGGCGGAGAAGTGAGCAGTTCGGGCACGTGGCACGCGACCTGCTGCGGATGACTGGTGTGGTGAGAAATGCGTGCAGCGGGTACGATGTATGGCGCTTGACTGAGGGTGCTGTGAAAGAACTTGTGAAAGATCATGAGACTGGAAATACGTCAACGATCACAAAGCTTAATTAAA